GTGCGTGTGGGTGTGTGGAAGAGGGATATTTCAGTGTTGGTAGTGGAGCCGGGTTTGGTCTCGTGCAAAACGAATAATAAGAAGGGTTGTAGGGAAGTCGCGTCCTGCGCAGTGGTTGTGCACACAATCAGTGTGTGTGTGTGGGAGCGGCTCGCGGTCGCTCTGATGTGCGAGACGATGGTGGTGGCAGTGTCCCCCCAACCGCGTGTGTGCACCTGTCAAATGTGTTTGTGCTAGTGGTAATTGGAGTGGATACAGTGCGTACTGCTGGACGTGCCAGCTTGACACTGTTGCAGTGCCAAATCTTTTCACCCATGCTCACACTATTCTCGCGCGCACTCATACACACTTCCTCACACCACACACACTCCCTCACACCTCACACCCACACTCCCTCACACCACACACTCATGTACACGTTCAAAATCCTGCGCACCTCTCCCCCCCCCCCTCCTTCCGCCCAAACTGTACACAGCTGTCCGCTCCAACTCAACACCAGGAACGCGGAGGCCGTCACGGCTCACGTCGTCATCGCGGCACTCACAGGTCACCGGCGCACAGTCGCCAACAGTGAGCCCCATTGCAAAGCAGCAGCGCGACGCAATGTCGTGCACATCGCCGCCGTCGCCGGAGCGCCCGTGGCCTCCACAGCGCCAGCCCCGCATCGATGCTTCGCCGTCCCCAGACCGGTCAGGGCGGCCTCGACCGATGCTCAGGCTCAGCGCAGACGCCAGCGCCTCATCCACCCGCCTGGTTCGTGCACACTGGTGTATTCGTCTACATGTGTGTGTATGTGTGTGTATATGTGTGTATGTGTGTGCGTATGCATGTGTGAGTTTGCATTTACTTTGCGTGTGGCAATGCGTTCCTTGCCTCCTTACACTCTGCACACACACACACACACACGCGTACACACGCGTACATGCACACACACACACACACAGCACCACATGCACCAGTACGAGACGCACGGTGACCTGCGTCGCCTCTCATCCCCGCGAAACTCCCCGCTCGTCCGCACATTTTCCCGCGAACTCCACAAGTCGCTCAGCATCACCTCCCTCAGCATGGCGTACGTGCCCTGTGCAAGTGGCTGCTGTCATTTCTGCTCCACCGCACCCCTGCCCACCGCTCGACGTGCTCAAGGAGAACCATGCGCGTGCCCAAATCAGCCAAACGCTTGTCATGGACAAACTACGTCAACATGTGTTTGTCATGCTTCACCTTTCCTCATCTCGCCACACATCACCGCATCCCATCGCTTTACACCACCCGCTGCCACGTGTCCACCTTTCGCAGGTGCGGCGGCGTGGGGAAGACGCCACTCGACCGCGTGCGCGGTTTGGAGAGCGATCTTCTGGTGCGTTGACGGTGACGTGGCAATGTGATTCGATCTTGTTTGAGTGTTGTTGTTGTTGTTGTTGTTGTTATTGTTGTTGTTGTTGTTGTTGTTGTTGTTGTTGTTGTTGTTGTTGTTGTTGTTGTTGTTGTTATTGTTGTTGTTGTTGTTGTTGTTGTTGTTATTGTTGTTGTTGTTGTTGTTGTTGTTGTTGTTGTTGTTGTTGTTGTTGTTGTTGTTGTTGTTGTTGTTGTTGTTGTTGTTGTGTGCGTGTGTGCGTGTGTGCGTGTGTGTGTTTGGAGGGGGACAGGGGTTGTCTGATGTGATTGTCGTGGTATGATCGAGAAAGGAAAGGCGATGGGGCTTGGGGGCGGCCAAAGCACCTCGGCTGTGCTGCCTGGTTTATAGCACGATGCACGCACACACACGCACACATATGTATACGATCTCTTTTCAACCACAAACGCGCACATTCACACTCGTTTGCACACAACAACAACGACGACGACAACAACAAAAACGACGACGACGACAACAACAACAACAACAACAACAACAACAACAACAACAACAACAACAACAACAACAACAACAACAACAACAACAACAACAACAACAACAACAACAACAACATGCATTCGTCGTGGTGCATGCAGAGCAAGTCGCTGAATGCGGGCATGCGTATGGGCGGCAGCATTGGCCGCGGCGCCCTGGGCAGCAGTAGCAGCAGCAGCGGTGGGCTCGGCGGCCTGGCTGGCAGCGGTGCACTGAGCAGGAGTGGCGAGAACATTGATGGCGGGGTGGCAACCCGTTCCACGCGCAGCGCATCGCTCATTGTTATCCGCAGGACCGCGTCTGGCAGCTACGGCGGGGATGGAGATGACACCGGAAGTGATGAGGGCGGTTATGGTGGGTATGGCGGTTATGGTGGTGGTGGTGGTGGTGTGCTGACGGCAACCACGTCTCACCTGCATGAACTCGGCAGAGGTGGCGATCAGGTGCGTGTGTGTGCGTGTTTGTGTGTGTTTTGTGTGTGTGTGTGTGTGTGTGTGTCTGTGTGTTTTGTGTGTGTGCGTGTGTGTGTGTGTGTGTCTGAGTGTCTGTGTGTCTGTATCTTCGTCTGTGTGTGTGTGTGTGTCTCTCTCTCTCTCTCTCTCTCTCTCTCTCTCTCTCTCTCTCTCTCTCTCTCTGTCTCTCTCTCTCTCTGTCTCTCTCTGTCTGTCTGTCTCTGTACATCTCGTTGCATGTACGTGTTTGCATGTCCATGTGCGCCCACGCAAGCGGCATACTCAAAGATTCCACTCACACACACCACCGACTGCCGCCACCGCCGCCACCACGCGAAACAGTACCCACCGCCATACCACGGGCGCCTCGCTGCTGGCTCGTCGACAGAGTCATTGGAGTTGCCGCACCCGCCGTCGTCGTCGTCGCTTCGTGGCGAAGACCTCATGCGCGGCGAGAGCGTGGACAGCTTTGCCCTCCGCTCTCCGCAGGTCGACCCGTCCGCAGCCCAGACAACAGGTGTTGTGGTGTGCTTCGTGTTAGCAGCGTTGTTTGCGTGTGGCCGCGCTACACGGGTACACATGCACACACACACAAACACACACGCTCACACACACACACTCTCTCTCACTCACTCTCTCTCACACACACACACACACACACACACACACACACACACACACACACACACACACACACACACTAGTACGCAGCTTAAGTCACCTGGGAAACCGTTAAGAATCGCGAAGGCTAGTCCCCGGGGCCGATATTCCGCAAGGGCTAGACTGTGAAATACCCAGCAACCGCCATCGGGGCCAGGCATTCTATTTCTGCTTGCTCAGTCACGGGCTGGTGGTCCTAATGGCTACACGCCGCGATATTTTAAATAATCCCGCAGTGGTATGCGGCTATGGGATTTTTCGTCTGCTTCACACACACACACTCTCTCTCACTCACTCTCTCTCACACACACACACACACACACACACACACACACACACACACACACACACACACACACACATTCGCATACACACATTCACGGACTTGCAGCAATTTCGCCTGGACCAGTTGCGTTTACGTTCACGTCTCCGCCAAATCTGCAGGCAGTGGACGCACTCGAGTCGTGAGTCTCAGAATGCATGCGAACGTGAAACATGCTTGCAGGCAAGCAAGTCCACATGAAGCAGTTCCTCACACCCATATGTGTGTGTGTGTGGCTCATGTGTAGCAGCAACGACAGCACGGCTGTGATGACCGTGGATGAGGACGGGCGAATTCTCACCGCAGACGCGCGCATCCCATCCCTCTTTCGATGCACGGTGAGCGGCCGTGCTTGCCTGCAAGCAACCACTGCAAGCAACCACTGCAAGCAACCCAAGAAACACACCCAACGCTAAAACCACTGCGTAACGTGCTGTGATGGTGGCACGACACTCACTTGTGTACACTCCTCTCTTGTCACTGCAGGCTGGGGACGTCATTGGACGCAACATTGGACACTTTATCCAGTCGCCACAATCAAACAAGGTGGTGTCATGTGTGTGTGTGTGTGTGTGTTTGATGCGAGTGCGATCGCATAACATGCACACAGACTACGCTGCTGCGCAATCTAGACACGCACACACCCACACATGCGTCCATGTACCCATGCACATTACTAACGTGATTGACTCTCACGCATACATGCACACATGCACACGTACACATATGCACGAATACCTATGCGATTGACACACACGCACGCACACAAACACACACACACACACGTACGCACGCACACGCCACTGTTGACGTTTGTGGTGTGCTGAGCAGCGCGATGCGTGGACAAAGGAGCAGCTCATGATCCCGACATTTGGAAGGTGTGACGATGCAATGGCATCATGATGTACTATGCACCAACTGTGCTCACACGCCGCACACCAACACCAACCCTGTGCCCTTCACGCACTAACTATCAATAACACCACCGCCAACACCGCCACCAAACCAACGCCAACGTCAGGGTGGTGGATGGAGAAGCGGAGGACGGTACACCATTCGCTGTTGCGCTGTGGATCAAGCCTGTCCTTCCACGGCCTGTGGTTCCTGAAGCGTCACAACCTGCCATGATGCAATCGTACGCGGCTGCCACGACGACAGTGTCACAAACACAGCCGTCCTCGCCTGCACAGCCGACCGCCACGCATGCTGTCGGTCTCACATCTTCTTCATCTTCACCTTCATCATCGTCGCGCTCCGCTCATGGCGGTGTCATCGTGTCGCCACAATCGTTATCCTCGTCCACATCGGCCTCATCAGCAGCAGCAACAGCAACAACAGCAGCAGCAACAGCAACAACAACAACAACAACAACAGCAACAACAACAACAGCAACAGCAGCAACAACAGCAACAGCAGCAGCAACAGCAACAGCAGCAACAACAGCAACAACAGCAATAGCAGCAATAGCCGCAGCAGCTAAAATACAGGCAACAGCCGCCTCTGCACCCTCACAGTCGTCCCAGTTGCCATCAACCGCAACCGCCCACACCGCATCCGCGTCGGCCGTGTGCTCGCCGCCATCTAGAGCAGCAGCAGCCAAGGCAGCCACGGTGCTTGCCACGACGCCTGGCCCGGGCAAACCCCGCACGAAGCCCACGCCATCGTCGCCGCTGGCACCACGACGACAACGTCGCCTCTCCACTCTTTCCCGGCAGCAGCGGTTCGATGCAGACACATACGCACGCAGCGGGACCCGCAGTTTAGGCGCTGTGGGCGACAGCGGCGGCGGCGGTCGCAGTGGTGGTGGTGACGATGGTGGTGATGGTGATGTGATTGATGAGGATGATGACAGTGACGGAGGGTTTGGGTTTGGAGGTGACAGCGCGAGCGTGAGCCCGCGTGGATCGGTGGACGTCGACATAAGCGGACGGAAGAGCGAAGGCGACGTGTTTATTGCCTCCACCGCTGACGCAGCAGCAACACACCACCACCACCACCACGTGAGGCAGCGTCACTCCCTCCACACGGCCAACAGTGGCCAACACCAACACCACCATCAACAACAGTCACACCAACAGTCACACCAACAACAACACCACCACCAACACCAACAACAGTCACACCAACAACAACACCACCACCAACACCAACAACACCAACAACAGTCACACCAACACCAGTCACAGCAGCAGCACTCCCGGTATCTTGTGGTGCTGGAGCCCATTTCCCGCTGCGTTGCCACGTGCGCCGTCAACACACGCACTGCACAACTCGGTTGGTGGTTGTTATGCTTGGTGTTTTCCGTGCGAGTTGGTTTTGTCGTTGCACGACGTTAAGTGGTGTTAAAGTTGTTACGTCCCCCATCTTCTCTTCCTCACAACCCCATCACGACCCATCCATCCACCCACCCACTACAAACAACAATACGTCTTTTCTCTTTCCCTCCCTCCCTCTCTCCCAATGTCTCCACCGTGCCCCCCCATCCCCCCGGTCAACAGTGTGGGCGGATGCGGCGTTTCTGTCTCTGCACCGACTTTCCCCGTCCGTGATTGCGTCACCGCCACCCCAACTCCTCAGCACCATCCTGCCTGGTGTCAGTGTTGACGCAATGCAAGCAAGCGCTGCCGATGGTGCACACGTGTACATGTCGAGTCACCAATTCAAACTTGGCGGCACTTCCACCTCCACCAGTTCCACGTCCTCTTTGTCTTCTTCGTCTGCTTCCACAGCGGCTGCGGTGCTGTTCCCGAGCGAGTTTGTCTTCTTGCTCCCGTCGCCCGAAGAAGTGGCGCAAATGCACCAGGTAACGTGTGTGTGTGTGTGTGTGTGTGTGTGTGTGTGTGTGTGAATGCCGCGAGTATCATTGCACAGGCGGTTCTCAAACGCCACTTCCGTCTTTATGCTCCACACATGCATGCGACTGACCGTGCCTTGCTGTTGATGATGTGGCTCCATAACACGTTCGGTGTGTTAATTCGCAGGATGGCAGCGATGATGATATTGTTCTGCTCCGACAACACATCTACACATGCGTGAGCGGTACGTTGGTAATGCCAGTGCACGCCAGTCTTGTGTGAATAAAGAATACCATGCGTGCGTGTGTGTGTGTCTGTGTGTGTCTGTGTGTCTGTGTGTCTGTGTGTGTGTGTGCGCCTGCGCTCGCCTATATTTCTGTGTGTGCGTCTTCTGTGAGCCCTTGATTGTCCGCTGTTGTCGTTCATGTCAATCATTTCGCTCACGTCACAACATCAACACCATCCGCACACCCGCCCGCATGTATGACAGGGGTCATGACGATTGACGCGTTGGGGTTGGTGGTGCACTGCAATGAGAACTTTGTTCGCATCATGTTTGGCCGCGACAAGGTGAGCCCCCGTGGTATTGCGTGGCTTTGGGTTGCTGCTCTTCCTGCTTTCTGTTGTTCGGTTTGTTTGTTTTGTGTTCGGCCCTCTTTGTGCTGTGCTTGCACAAGTCGTGTTTTCTCAACCTAAGATTCGCATGCCTTTGCACGTGAATTGCTTCTCACTCCGGCCCTTGCTGCTTGCACCCTGCTTGAATTCTTCGTCCAGTCGTCCGTTGTTGGCGAAAGCATCGCGCTCCTCATCCCAGACCTGATCGACGTCGGTTCAGGTTAGGGCGACACACGGATAGACAGACAGACAGACAGACAGACAGACAGACAGACAGACAGACACACGCACACACGCACACGCACACACACACGCACACACGCACACACACGCACGCACGCACGTACACACACACGCACGCACATGATCGTGCTCACTCCCTTCCGCGTCGCCCACGCGTCTGTCACGTTTTTCGTCCGCAGACAACCGCTGCACACCGCCATCACCGCACGATCTCCTCTCGGCAAACGTAACGCCCCGCTCTCGCACACACACATGCACACACAACACACATGCACATGCACACTGGCGAACATTGCCATAACTGCGTTGATGTGGCGTGTCTAGATGTGTGGCTTTGTGCATTGCGCCACCCGCCCCTCCCTCCCTTCCATTCCCTCCTTGCATCTCGTCACTGCTTCCTGCTTCCTGCAAGCTCATCACCACCACGATCACCCCTGCTCACATCTTTACCTGTCGTGTGGGTCGTGAGCAGATGAGCATTGAGGGGCCTATGGATGTGCCGCAGCCGTTTATCCTTGAAGGATCGGGCGAAGCGACCGCAATTTACGCCGATGGCACAAACATGCCAATCACGTTTCAGGTGTGCATGTGTGCGTGTGTGTGTGTGTGTGTGCGTGTGTGTGCTTGTGCTCGTGTGTGTGTGTGTGTGTGTGTGTGTGTGTGTGTGTGTGTGTGTGTGTGTGTGTGT